AGATAGATAGATAGATAGATAGATAGATAGATAGACAGATAGATAGACAGATAGGTAGATAGATAAGGACAGAAACACAAACACACACATACACACACACACACACACACACACACACACACACATAGGCACACAAAGGGGGAGAAGGAGAGAGAGAGAAAAAGAGAGAGAGAGAGAGAGAGAGAGAGAAAGAGAGAAAGAAAGGAGGGGAGAAAGAGGGAGAGAGGAGAGGTGGGGGCAGCTAGAGAGAAAATGGGAGAGTGGGAAAAAGCATCACTTGTGTTTTTTGCTCTCTGGGGTATAACAACATGATAGCTCTTGAGTGATGTTCGTCCTTCGCTGGCGAAAAGGACCTTGACTTCACAGCGCTGGAGGGGTGGAGTGTGTGTGGAGATGGCTGATCGGACCGATCTTCGTTGGTAAATGTCTGTTGCAGTAGGGGCAGGGGATGTTGAGGATGAAGTCAAGACTTGTGCTTGAATTTGATTTAAGTGAGGGAGAGCTGCTCAAAGTCGTCAGCTCCACTCTCTTGTCCCTGTCCGTCAGCTCTTGAGTATCCCCAGGAGGAATCATGTCATCTCGTTGAGTTATTGGTAGACAAACTAAGCGTCACGCACTAAGCCACTCATAGGTTTATTGTACGATATCCTAGACCGGTCTCTGTGACGTATCTCCGATTCACAATGGAGCGCACAATTTAACCCTATACGTACACCCTGGGGTCATTTTGTACCCCCGTGGTTGTATTTTTTTCTTTTAAGAATACTTCTAGTACGAAGATCTCTTTGAAGCTTTCGGTATTTCTCAAAAAATCATTTTGAAAGACTGCTATGCAAAGCGTACGGATTGGATTAAGGAGTAAATTTCCTCTTTGGAAAGTGGTGGCACAGAGTTCCCCACGTCGTATGGATACGTTAGTAAAACACGACGTACGGAAAGGGTTAACTCAATAACAGCGAAAAGAAGAGCAAGGAGAGAAATGTGTTGGATGTTCTGTCCGACAACGAGACTGGTGCTATACACTTCATTTGGGTGTAATGGCTTGACCTTTTGGTTTCCATGGTTTGCAGTGAATATTTACTGACAGCGAAGAGCATCTAGTGTCAGTCCTGGCATTCCGTATAGTTATACTCTTTCTCTTCTCTTTTCAGGTGATGAGCACTACAACGTCTTAGAATCACCCACAGTTGATGTCAAAGACACACTCGGCGTGCCAACCAAGTTGTGAAATTTTCCAATAACTCAACTGCCCCCAGTGATCCACATACACACCAGAAACCGTTCACCCGTGAGCCCTTCAATATCAGGTCTCTTTCCAACTTACTAGCCTTTAGTGACCCAAATACACATCAGAATACGGTCGACCACCAGCCCAGAATCGACATCAGGTATCCTTCCAACCCACCAGTATCCTTGATACCAGCAGTTCCGAGTATGTGGGAGAATCCTTTTTGTTCCTCATGTCAGCCCTCAAGAGACAGAACACTTTCTACGGACTAGGCATCGACACAAATATCACCACAATCAGCAATGGCGTCTGCAGCTGTCAAAGCCACGCCCATTTCCAACAACAGCTGGGAGAGACCATCATCTCCAGCAATAACAACACTCCACTTTCCAGGTCTGCCTCCCTCCGGAATCACCACTGCAACAGTCCCGGGAGGTACCTATCTAGATCGATCAGGGAGAGGGAGAGAGGCGTGGGAGGAGCAGGAGGAGGCGGAGGAGGAGTTGGAGGAGGAATTGGTGGAGAAGGAGGAGGAGTGCCAGGATCGGAGGAAGCAAAGGGAGTGTGTGAGTGTGTTGGGGAAGGAAAGAAGAAGAAAAGAGATGAGATGAAGCTAAAACGTTTGATCTTCCTCATTGCTGTATTCATTGTGTATGTGTCCCTTGGAGCTGTGGTTTTCAAAGAACTTGAGGGTCAAGCGGAAGTTGATCGGAAAAACGACCTGGAAGCTTACGTAAAGATATTTCTAGGTGAGTACCCTTTTCGCAGTTAAAGAACTCCTTGTGGAAAAAGCTGAAATATAATTTCTACCTGTCTGGGTTGCTTTCCCAACAATACATAACCAGTATTGCATCTAGTCTATGATCTTCTCTTTACGCAGAGTTTTGAATATGCCCACTTCGTTATCTATCTATCTATCTATCTATCTATCTATCTATCTATCTATCTATCTATCTATCTATCTATCTATCTATCTATCTTATATTATATATATTTGTTGACCGATAACAACTCTGGGATAATAAAGTATTATCTTATCTTATCTTATCCTATCTTCTCGAAAGGACAAGAAAGTAAATTATTCCTGATCTGGATTTAAACCTCGGACTTCCACATGACAACTAGTATAGTTCGTGACCTATTTCAGTTGCCGACTGTGAGTGTTTCCTGGAAGAGGCCGTGTGCGCCTATTGAATCTATTTCGTTAGATTTTGGGGGGGAGGTGTGGGGGGGGGGTTAAATGGTTAAATGTAGGTGTAGATGTATGCCACATTGCTACAATTTAGTCATTCAGGAGGAGGGATTCAATCCTACTTGTCAGGGTCACCCGGGCTGAGCGGGATACAATGTCCCGGCAGAAAGACTGAGGCATTCGAGGAAAGTTCCCACTAGAATAGCATGGTATCTGTGCCTCCAAAATAATTCGCACTTGGCTAGAAATGTTCTTACGTCATACATTTTACAGTTAAATCTACCTTTTTACCACAAAGCAAGTTACATTGAAGTTCTACTTATTTTTGTTTACTCTTCTGTGGAAAATTCTTCAAGACCACAAAATTGTACTTCAGTACTAAATACACCAGTGTTTGTAATGTAGTAGTACGGCGCACTGCCATCGCACACGGAAGACGTGAGTTCGATTCTCGGGTGGGGAGAGCTTGCATTATCCACTATTTCCTCTCAGCTTAGGTTGACCCAGACAGAGAGTGTCGAAGCAACCCGCCTTCAAAACGATCTAAATTGTTTTGACAAAGGTGTAATCCATCTACAAGTGCAAACAACACAATATTATTAAAGAACTAAGTACCACTCATCTGGACGCATTGGCCTCTCGCGATCAATGCAGTACATAGAGACATTTATTATTTCACAGTCCTTACGGCCACATATTGGCGTCTTTTGTAAGAAGTGTTTTTGGTCATGTTTCGGTTCGTGCCTTTTCCGTGAGAAGCTCCAGATGCAGGAGCAAGACATAATGCGATTAATGGGACAAGCTGGGACATGCGGTTCAATGGAGGCTTTCATTCGTATTTTGTATTTTCATCAAAGAGTTGGGAAGAACGAGAAAGAAGCAGCAGGCTAAGAGAGCAAATTCTAACAAAAGAGACAGCTCGTAATACGCATGTACAGCTTGACGGAGCGCAACGCCCTCATCAACACAAAGTTCTAAATTGGTTCTAACGTTTAAAAAGAGAAATTGTGCACCTTCGCTCCTTCCTGGTTACGCCGACAAGAAATATTTAAAGAAAAGAATACTTTCATGAAATGGAACAATGAAGCAAGGTATATGAAATAGAAGTCGTATTGGCAGCTATTACTATTATTGATCAATACCATCTTTAGTGGAAAAGAAAGAATACACGGGAAAGAATTACTTTGTTGTTGTTTTTATTGTTTTTATTGTTGTTGCTGCTGTTGTTCTTCTTCTTCTTCTTGTAGTTTCTGTTGTTGTTGTTGTTGTTGTTGTTGTTGTTGTTGTTGTTGTTGTTGTTGTTGTTGTTGTTATTGTTGTTGTTGTTATACCAGTAGCGTATGTGCCCTCTGACCCATTATTTAAAAAGTGGAGGTTTTCAAAAGATGTTTTTACAGTATAGTGTATTGGCGGGAGGAAGAAGTTGCCGCCGGAGATCCTATAGTTCAAGATGTTGAAAGAGGAGATATTAGACTTGGGGAATAAATGAATGAATAAGTCTAAGGATTCTGTTAAGTCGTGAAACCATGAAATTTGAAAAACTTTTATACTAAATTCATGTTAATGACAATACTTTCGTGGGACTCGCATTTTTTGTTCATTATTAACGTATGAACATTATTTTGGAAAGATTAGGTTATCATTCAATGTACGAGTCTGAAAAAAACAAAAACTTGAAAGGTTCTGTAATGATCTGAGAAATCCCTGATCTGATATATACGTCATCAGTTACATGTTCTACCTATTTTGTGAAAACAAGCGTCCTGCTTTGTCACCGTCGAGATCTTACTTTACTTTATCCGTCCTCTTGTACCTGTCTCTAGCAAGTTTGATGGCCTGGCTGGGTGGGATATTGTATGTTCTCAGGGTATCCTTCACACCTTGGATACAGGTCTTTCTTAGTTTTCCTCTTGCCTTGTACCCTGATACATTCCTGTAGTAAGCTTAACTGGCAAGCTGGTTAGGCGCCATACGTGTGAGATGTCCAAACCACCGTCGAGATAATACGTAATATTGTTTCAGAGAGACATGAACACTACCAAACGACAACCATAATTGCTTTTTTCTGTCATATGAAACATCATGCACGTGCAGGAAATCTCTTTGGTTGGGGATACAATCTTCTGATACTCGTCCGTTTTGTAATCGGATAGCTAGTGAGTGACATATCCATAGTGACTGGGAAAACCCTGTAATAATATGGTGAGTATTTTTACAAGATGCATTATTGCAGTTATACATAATATGTATATTATATATTATTACATGAAGGTATTGTTCTATAAAAAAAAAATGGATACGTATATGGACAGACAGACAGACAGACAGACAGACAGACAGACCGACAGACAGACAGACAGACAGACAGACAGACAGACAGACAGACAGACAGACAGACAGATAGACAGACAGTCAGACAATGGCATCCTCTACGACCCTCTTGGCACGATAGGCAAATTACATGTTGTCCTGTATGTCTTCTGTTGATTTCTTCAGTTCTTACAAAACAAGTTTTTCTAAACATTTCAAAAGGACTGATGTTAAAGCAACAGGTCTTAAGTCATTTCAATTTTGTATTGATTGTTAATTTGGGGCCGGAAGTATTTCAGAGCATTTCCACGAGAATGTTATTATTCGTTCTTTCAATGATATATCAAAATTCCACACAGAACTTTGACCTAAAAGGTATTGACTCAAAAAACATATATATATATATATATTATATATATATATATATATAAGGACCTTACAACCCTCCTCTCTCTCTCTCTCTCTCTCTCTCTCTCTCTCTCTCTCTCTCTCTCTCTCTCTCTCTCTCTCTCTCTCTCTCTCTCTCTCTCTCTCGCTCAGGGGTTAAAAGAGTTCAATAGTGACAAAAGGCTCCTTTATCTAGTTAAAAAATTAAGATTTTCTGTTGCACAAATCCTTTTTCTTCTGTTTTTTAGCTTTGTTTTGTTTTGCTTAATAGGGGTATTTTATTTTCCTCATCAAAAACTGTTCACTGTAAAGAAGAGACTGTGATGTTCAGAAAGGCTAGAAGCAACGTGGAAGGAGAAGGGATTAGAGACTAAGTGCTTTTATTTCAAGATCGTGGCGTCGGTGGCCTAGTGGTTTGGCTCTCGGACTCGCAACCGTAAGGTCGTGGGTTCGAATCCCGTCAAGGGCCCGACGTTGTGTCCTTGGGAAAGGCACTTTACACGAATTTTCCTCACTTCACCCAGGTGGGAATGGGTACCCGGCTATAGACAGCGAAAGATCTTGTCAGTTTGTTAGTGTTTGAGCGCTTAATCGGCTGCTCGCACTGTATGCTTCCCGGGAAGCTGAGAATGTTTCGGAGTGTTCTATGGTCTGCTGGGGTAATAATATAGTGTAAAGCGCATAGAGCCTGCTGTTGAGCGGGGATATGCGCTATACAAATGCTATCTATTATTATTATTATTATTTATCTCTTTCCACATCTATGAGACATCCTTTTGATTTTGAGCCAGCTTTTTTCATGTCTGTGTGCTAGGTTAGTTAGTTTGACTTACTTCCGAGTGCTTGAAAATGCCGGTGGCGTGAGCGCAAGGCGGGAAATAACCAACATCTTGAGTGTCTCCGGGCATTGCGAGTTTTCGTGTCTTTCTCGTCCGTTTTGAGAGAAGGCCTCGCTCCCCCTCTTCCATTGACAGCATATATATTATAAGTCTGCCCTTTTCTCCAAACAAAAATTTCAAACAACAGAAACTAAACTGAGGAGTTACCCCAGAAAAGTAAAATAAAACAAAACAAAATAAAACAACGAAACAAAACAAAAAAAACAACCTTACTCCCTTTTCTTGAAATAAGTAACAATTTAAATCTATTGGGAGTGAGATGGATATACATGTAAATATACTGTCTAACTAGTCGAAAACCTCCCCTTTAGGACTCATGGAATTTATATTTAGTAAGTTGTTTCCAGTCAGCAACATAAAATATTGTAGCAGATTACTGGCGGCAGAAATCAATACGAATGAGAACATAAATAACACTTAGAAGGGAAGCCCGTTGGACAAATGAATGGAGCCGGTCTGATTTGATGAGTCCAGATCGGGCCGGGTCCGGTCGGGAAACAGTGCTAGCCAGCGCACACTATATCAAATAGACTCCTCTTGGCTTCATCAAACTTGACCCTGAAGTTAAATACCGCATTCCGCTCACAAATATAAAATACTACTTTCGCTGTCATCATTATGACACGTAAAAGCCTTCTGGTCGGTTGTCAGCCAAGGATTTCATCTTATGCACCAAATTCTGACTCAAAACAAATCAATTGTTTGATGTTTGATGGAATGTCGAATCGGACAGAGCCGAGATGGTATATTGCCTATCCAAGACGGAACATGTCGCGGCAGTTAAAAGGACCAAATACTGTCAAATCAAAATTACAGAAATGGGCACTGGGTCTAACATCCTGCTAACCCGATACTTCTGGTTGATTTCAAAAGTAAACCACAAGATCAATTTGCCATTGGACAGATTCTACATAGTCAAAACTAAATGTTGTCGATCAGAGAAGTATGCATGCACTCATTT